CGCCTTTCCTGGAACTCGCTCTGTAGCCCAGGCTGGCCTCGAACTCACAGAGATCCGCCTGGCTCTGCCTCCCGAGTGCTGGGATTAAAGGCGTGGGCCACCACCGCCCGGCTGAGAAGCACTTTTAAGTCTATGCTTAGAAAACAACCAAGGAAATTTAAAACATTGAGCTTGTGACTATGATGACATTAGCAATAATTTTGTAGAGCTAGATTAATGGCTTATCAGAACTCCACTGATTAATGTTAAAACTCTGAACTTCTTTTTCTTCCTTATTTATTTATTTATTTATTTATTTATTTATTTATTTATTTATTTATTTATTTATTTATTTATTTATTTATTTATGAGACAGGGTTTCTCTGTGTAGCATTGGCTGTCCTGGAATTCGCTCTGTAGACCTGCTGACCTCAAACTCAGAGATCTGCCTGCCTCTGCTTTCAGAGTGCTGAGATTAGAGGTGTGAGCCACCACTGCCAAAAACTCTAAACTTTTGAAGTCTTAACATAACACTAGCACAGAGAGGGGAAGAAATCTGAAACACTTCTGATTTTTCACATACTTTAAATCACTTCCTTAGACCTTTGCAACTTGTATTTACACACCTTAAATTACTTTCTTAGATCCTCACAACTCACTTAAACTTCAAATCTTTCATTTTCATGCCATGGTTCCTGAGATGGGTCATTGCAAAGCAAGGTCCTTTAAACAAAGGAAGAGTAAAATGTTACATTGAAACCTGTTTTGTGAGTTTATCTTTCAGTGGGAAGTCAGCAAGGAAAACTGTTTTGTGTCTGCCTTTCTCAGTGGGAAACCTAATGGCCCTGGACAAGTGAGGGCAGAGTTTACATGTGAAATCAGCTGAGCAGGAAGCTGCAGCCTTGGGCGGAGGGGCTGGGTGGAGCTGTTGCCAAACTGGTAACAGTGCCCAGTGGTTAGTGTTACCACAATCCAGGAGGAGTTGCCTATGCCCATGGATTTCTTTGGAGAACTTAGGGTTGCCTCTAGGAGCTGTCATTTCCGTCTGTCATGGGAAGCTTTTTAATTAAACATTTTAAATGCCACATTTAGCATATCTCTGAGGAATTTGAAGACCATATATTAAATATATTTGATTTTGAGATGGAGAGATGGCTCAGTGGTTAAGGGCACTGGCTGCTTTTCTAGAGGTCCTGAGTTCAATTCCCAGCAACCACATGGTGGCTCACAACCATCTGTAGTGATATGGTGGTATTTTATTTGTACTGAAATGTGATTTTAATTGTATATTAATAAATAAAGTTGCCCGGGGGTCAGAGCTATTAGAGCCATAGCAAAAGCTGGGCGTTTGTGGTGCATGCCTTTAATCCTAGCACTTGGTAGGCAGAGCTAGGTAGATCTCTGTGTGTTCAAAGATACAGCCAACAGACAGTGACAAGGCAGTCATGTGGTTGGTTTTACAACCAATGAGAAGGCAGAACAGAAAGTCTATATAAAGACAAACAGACAGGAAGTAGCTCTCTTTCGGAGAGGTCTCTTGGCTTAAGAGGCTAGCTGCAGCAGGCGGGTAAGGCTCTTAGCTCTGATCTCTTGGCTTTCTTTGCATTGATTCTGTGTTTCTTATTTAATAAGACAGTTGGCTACATCTATAATCTAGTGCCCTCTTCTGGTGTGCACATGTATATGCAGACAGAACACTGTATACTTAATAAGTATACCTGATTTTAAATAAACTGTTTTTAGTTACTTGCTTTAGGATTAACCTTGAAAGCATATTCAGGAGGCTGAATAAAGCTTGTCCCTGTAAATGAATTATATTTGTACTTAGCATGACTATGAGCCTAGTTCTGAGCACATTAAAGAATCTGATCCTTTATAAGGTTACTGACCATTCTTGCATGTCTTAATTATCTTCAACAGTTTACAAGAAATTAATAGCTTTTATAAGATTAGTATTTTATAATTTTATCCCTGTTAAGTCTGGGCCTTAAAAAATTGTCTTGAAGCTGGATAGTGGTGGTGCATGCTCTTATTCTCAGCACTTGGGAGGCAGAGGCAGGTGAGTCTCTGAGTTCAAGGCCAGCCTGATCTACAGAGTGAATTCTAGGATGGCCAGGGCTACACAGAGAAACTCTGTCTTAAAAAACAAACAAACAAAGCAAAAAATGAAGATTTAATGAAGATCTTTTAGTATCACAATACAACTTTAAATCATACGTATAGAAACTGGGAGCTTTACAAGATCATAGCTACAGTTCACATAGAGACTGAGAACCTCCCTTTTGATCTTTTCATAGTACACCATTCCAGAATGTAAGGAAAGTGTCGGCTGAGAACCCCCAAGACCAAGTTCTCAGCACAAAGGAGATTTATTTGCCCCAGAGGGACAGAGGGCAGGGACAAGGGACAAAGACAGGAGACAGAGGGTGAGTGAGAGGGGGAAGAGAACAAGGGAGAGGGGAAAAAGGATATTTGTCCTGGGGGGGACAGAGGACCGCCTCTGGATGGAGAGGAGACAGACATGGCACATAGGAACATGGCAGTTTATGAAGGTAAGGGAAACCCCGTGTTAGGGAGTGGTGGGTAATTTTAATTGGGTGTGTTGATTAGGTGAGCCAAGGGGGCTTTTGAGTTCTGGACTTCAATACTTTGACAGCTGGACCTTGGTAGCCTCAGGAAGAGGAAGTGGCCAAACAAGGGGATAGACCTTGGTGGCCAGCTTCAGGAATGTAATCTAATGGTTTTTAGCAAGGCAGAAGGAATGGGGGAGAAGAGTCTCTTTGCAGACTATCAGTTTCTTGTATGTCTTAGGGTTTCTGTTGCTGTGAAGAGACACCAGGACCACGGCAACTCTTATTAGGAAAACACTGAATTGGGTGGGTTTACAATCTCAAAGGTTTGGTCCGTTTTTTTCATGGTGGAACATTGTAGCTGGGAGTGTGGCAACATGCCAGAGAAGGAGCTGAACGTCCAACATCTTGCCTTGCAGGCAACAGGAAGTAGCCTGTGACACTTGGTGGTATCTTGAGCATCTATGAGACCTCAAAGTCTGCCTCCACAGTGACACACTTCCTTCAACAAGGCTACATCAACTTCAACAAGGCCATGCCTCCTAATAGTGCCACTCCCTTTGTGGGCTTTTTTCTTTCAAACTACCACATTGTATGTCTCAGTTTATCCAAATAGCTAAAGCTTAACAAAATTAGCAAAGACAAAGAGGCTAGACATGTATCTCCAAGCCAGTTTCTGTTAACCTGAATAGACCTTAGGAATTTATAAATCTTATTTATCAAACATAGGTTATTCCTTTTTAAAATTCTCCAGAAGCCTAATTAGTAAAGACATGAGTGGTTAGACATATCTCGAAGGCAGTTTCTGTTAACCTGGTAGATCTGTATATCTTAGGAATTTATTACCTAAAAAAAAAAAAAAAAAAAAAAAAACTATCCCACTCCAAAATATTTTTGGAGACCTGCTGTTGCTTCCTTACTGTAAAAGGAGACAAAATGATGAGCAGAGGGCTCAGGATTGGTTTTAAAAAATAACAAGCGGCACTGATTACTGTGCAAGAAAGGTCACGAGGCATGAGGCACAACCAAACCCAGTATCAGAGCTTTTTTAGGAGGAGGGGGCGGGACAGAAAAGAGTAACCAGGCCTGGGAAGAGACACATGCAGAAAGAGAGAGAGAGTGGGGGAGGAGGAGGGCAAAAGAGAGGGGAGGAGTCTGTGTCAGGCTTTTTAAGGATTTCCCTGCACATGAGCAGGTAGGCTTACGGAGCTACGTCATGCATGCGCTGATTGCATGATCACACTGCGGGCGTTTGTGCAATCACACAGCACACTGATGACATAAGACCTCTTGCTTAGCTACCGAAGTGCACATGTCTGGTCATACAGCTGGAGGAGTGGCAGAATCCTAACTCAGTAGGACTAAACAGTTTTATGGCTGTTGCCTTAGTTGGTTTACATCACGTGCTTATTTTAAGCAAGATGGTGGTGAAGTCACATGGCATGTACTCCTTTTTAACCTGAGAATAGTTGGCTGCCAGCCACGTGGTTCCTGATGATGTCATCAGCTAAGATGGAGGCCAGCCACACGGTTGCTATTTAAAAACACCCATTTTCCTAAACAAGAGTTGAATCCAAGTTGCATGTAGTAAATAATGTATACGTATAGATTTTTTTAAAGTATCAACCTTTTGTTACAAGGTTTAAGCTTTTTGTTACAGATTTTGTGGAATTTTAACCACACCCAATAAACTCACAAATCCTAGAGTTTACACAATAGGTTTTAGAGATTTTTTTGTTTTGTTTTTGAGCAGAAACAAGAAATCTTGAAGATAAAAGATTTTCAAGAGTGGAAAGTAGAAAAATCTTAGAGTTAAGAGACATTTAGAAGTGCAGAGCAGAGAAAGTTCAGACATAAGAGATTTGGGATCATTTGTTTGTACAGTGGCAGTTGTTACGATTTGTGAGAGTTTAGAAATGGAGTCTGGCATCATTGACCATTGAGCTATACTGAGGCCAAGCTGTTTTCAGGAAGACAGCAGGCTTTAATAAGATCTCTGAGTCCATGGAGGAAAGGAGAAAGGGTCGCAAAATGAACTCCACTGGAGGGAGGATTCCGATAAACTCCAAGAGGGAGCTGAGAGACAGAGAACAGGGTCGCAAGCAGAAACTCCACCTGAGGGAGGATCCCAATCGATAGAATTCCTAGCCACTCCCCCATGACTGAGCATGTGCCAGCAAGATGCTTAGTCATCCCAGGGCCTTATGTCTTATGTAATCCATGAGCGGTGTGGCCATGTAACTTGTGCTCAGTGTGATCATGTAATCTATGCGCATGCGTGGTGTAGCTACATAGGCTCATATGCGCATGTGTGGGGAGGGGGGGATTCATAAAAGTGGGTCCCACATACCCCTCCCCCTTCTTCCTGCAAGATCGTTCCCATAGGCCTAAGCACGCCCTTCTGTTCTCCTTCCCCTAATAAACTCTTATAGTGGGGTTTTGTTGTGCCTTGTGGCTTTTCTCGCACGGTAAACAGGGCCACTTAATAAATAACACCAATATTGTAGAAGCCCAGGAGAGAGCCCAGGAAAGCATAGCCAGTCAAGGAGAGGGGCGAGTGTCTCAGTGGAGAGATGTCCACGTGGAGGGTATAGTAGGGTTCAGGAGCCAGAGAGACACTTACTGAGAGGGTGAAGGGAGGGGAAAGCAGCCGAGGAGTTGGAGTCCAGAGCGTGAAGTCATATTTGGTGGGTGGCAGAGGCCAGTAGATAGAAACAGACATACCATAGGAGAGTCAGATCAGTAGCCTGGTTCAGTCAGGAGAGGCTGGGACCCTTGGGAGCGGCTCACATGGGCCCCTCCTGGGTTCTGAGCACCAGATGAATGAAATGAGGGCATGGCACCCCAAGGTGCGGTTGGGGAGAAGGGTTTTATTATAGATGTGAGGGAGAGAACACCAGAAGCATCTGGAAGAATCCAGACTGCACTGGGCCATGGGGGCGGGGTGAGAGAGGAAGGGAAGAGAGAAGGGCAAGGGACCAAGGGTGGAGCCCGGAGAGCTCGGGGCTGAAAAGGCAGGGTTTTTTTTTTTTTTTGCTTTTTTTTTTTTAGACAGTAGTTTT